CTACAACCGAGGCAAGGCAACGGCAGCTTCCAGGAACTGTCCAACGGTTACAAATCGAAAGACAACAGAGAGACACGTGCCTACTCTACTAGGCAGAGTAGGCACGTGTCTCTCTGTTGTCTTTCGATTTGTAACCGTTGGACAGTTCCTGGAAGCTGCCATTTATGGTGGTGCGTAGCTACACCATAAATGGCAGCTTCCAGGAACTGTCCAACGGTTACAAACTCCGCGTACTAACCGGAGGCTGTGGACCTCACGAGAAGGGCACTTAGCTACGCACCACCATAAATGAAGTTGAATAAACTTCCAAAAGAGTTACCGCCAACTCTTCACAGACTGATCCAAAGCAGCCTGGATAGCATCACGTGCTTGACGACTCGCCTCGCTCGCCTCCTCAAATTTCTCACGCAGACCCAGCAACTCGAGCTGATCTGTATTAGAAGCTGACTGTAATTATACTGAGAATGATGAATGAAAGAGAGTGAAAACAAAACAAAGCAAAACAAAACGAACATTTTGCTTCCACTTCATCAAGGTGCTGCTGCTGCTTGGAAATAGTCTGTCGCAGAAATTCGATGACCTTGTTCTGATCTTGCCACTCTTCGCGCAGTTTGCGCACTTCCATCCCAGCAGCAATGTCGCTGAAAAGCTTGGATTCCCTCTGAGTGAATCCCAAAACAAGCACACAGGGATGTCTGGAAAATCTGAGTAAAGCAAGTGTTTTTTAATAACATACTGCGAAAGAACGGGGTCACCAGCGAGCGGCTGGGCTTCGTTTTTTTCACTGACCAGCTGTTTTATGCGCTCTTCAAGAGTTCTGCAAAATGCAGCTTTCTAAGTGAAGAAGACACTGCTAAAAGCTGTCAAAAAGCCTTCTCCCACAATTTCACTAGGCATACGGCCAGAGGCACTTGGCAACCGCCAGTGAATTGAGAGTAGTGTCCAATCAGACGAAATATGGTGTGGACACTACTCTCACTTCACTGGGATGGTCACCAACTTGCAGCAGGCAACCTGCTTACTGACATTTGCACGTCCTGTTCAAAGTAACCTTCAAACAATGTATGAACGGCGTGATACAGAAAAGACCTTTTTTCTGCGTTAAGCTGGTTGATCTGTCGGGTGAAGTTGTGGAACATCGCCTCTTGTTCTTGTTCGAGCACAATGGTCAAATTCACTTTATCGCGTCTTAGCTGTTGCGCGGCCTGTAGCAAATCCAAAAGTACACCATTTGAGGCAGTCGCCAACAACAGAGCCAGGAATGCTAAAGCCACCAGTCTCTATGCCAGGATGACTTGAGCTGAGCACTCACCGCACGGCCAGCTTCCAGTTCCTCTTCGAGCTCGTGAATCCTCGCAACCAAGGCTTTGATCTTGGCCGCCGAAGTCGCACCGCATTTACACAGAGTCACCTTCAAACAATGTATGAAAAGCTTTCTGCTCGTTTTTATGCGTTTTTGCATATATGTAAATTGCAAAAACGCATATTGGGAAGAGGCTGTGTGTGTGTTGTCTGTGTGTCTGTGTCTGTGTGTTCGCACTTTTTGTCACCCACTTTCAACTCGAAACCAGAAAAGCTAGAAGGCTGAAACTTTGGGAATATGTGCCTATATCATGCACTACCCTCCCATTTTAATTTCATTCCCCTCGGATGCCTGGGTGGTGTGTACGGACGCTTTAAAAAAATATGCAAATTTTTTGGCGGGAAAGCGACCTCGGGAACTACATGCGCCGAGGGGCTGAAACTTTGTAGGGATATACCCTGTGCATGTACTAACTAAAGATTTCGAAAGTTTTGGGGGAAAATTGCTAACTCGGGTACTAGGAAAGCTAGAAAGCTGAAATTTTGGAGGAGTGTTCCCTATCGAAGTACAACTCAGATATTTCAAATTCAGCCCCAAGCTATGCATTGTACTCACGTAAGGGCATATGAAAGTTTCTGCAGGAAAATTACTAACTTGGCAACCAGAAGAGCTAGATGGTTGACATTTCAGGCAGGTGTTCCTTGTCCACATGCAATTTAAAAATGTCAAATTCAGCTTTCCAAGCACTCGGAGTGCCCAAGTACGGGTATATGAAGGTTTTGGCGGGGAAATTGCTAACTCGGTAACCAGAAAAGCTGGAACGGTGAAATTTTGAGGGAGTGTTCCCTGTCTAAGTAGAACTTAAGT